CCAGCGGGGCGGGGGATGGGGGCAGAGCAGGGGCGGGGCAGGGGAGTGGAGCAGGGCGGGGCCAGTTTTTGGGCACTCGGTCTCTAAAAGGTTCGCCATCACTGATCTATAGCCTACTGAAAGTCTCAAATTATAATTCTTGTCTTTATAACTTATGCTTAAAGAGGCATAAAGCTGCTCTTACACCATTCTCTTGGGATTTGCTAGTACCTCACAAGAATACTTAAGATTTTCTTTAATGTGCTTTTCAGCATGCAAAATAATGGCAGGATACTGAGTATCTCAAAGCTTACAGCCCTGCCTTTCCCCATACTAGGTTTTTTCAGGCCCCCTTACCCAATTATTTGTTACTATGCAGCACACCAAATCGTACATTTTGGCAAACCATTTATTGAAGCGCTATTTACACAACACCTACAGTGCAACCTGATAAAATTGCCTTTTTAGATCGAGTGCAAACAATGTTAATGACTTTTTTGTACAGTTAAAAGATGTTAAAGATGACGGAAGTAAAACAAAAGCTGTGATGACAGGCCACGACACCTGCAGTTAATGGTGAATGTACAATTAAGATTCCTACAGATTTCCGTAACGGCTGTCCTAGGCTAGAGGCATAAATCTGAAATAAAGCTGTAGCTTTCATTTTAGTTTCAGGCAAAAAACAACAATAAAGCATGAAACAAATGGAAGGCATAGGAGATGGAGAAAGATGTTGGAGAGGAATCCATTAGAAGAGTTGGTTGCATTCACGATAAACCATAAATTGGCCTTGTTTCTTCCTTCTTCCAAAGGTATCTGGTGATTTCTTATAGCCATGCTTGCATCTTCTGTGGCAGATCTTGGCACCTATCAACTTTGCTGATAGTCCTAGGGCAGTTATGGACTTGTGGACATCTGGTATTGCTGTTTGCTGCGTTTAGCTTCCTGAAAGTGTCCCAAAAACTTGAGAGCAGCATAATGCCTTTAAAAGTATAAGAACAACAGAGTGAGAGTTATCACTGGAATTCAGTCCATCTATGCAGAAAAAAAAATCACTGCCAGTTTTTCTTTAAAACCTCTTTACTGAACTGAAATTATCAAATTATAGAAGCAAGGAGGGAGAAGCATATATTGAGAAATTCTTATTTCTTTCAGTAAGCTTTACAAATTTTAAAATTTGCTTCTAACAATGCACCCGTGGTAATGGTCTTCATTTTAAATTTCAGTTAAATTAAAAGTCTATGGAGGATCTTTTAACTTAAAACTGCTTCTTAAATGAAAAAGAGGCATTCATTTGAAGAGCCTGCTGCTACAAGTGCATCTTGAAGAAGGCTCTGGAAACCCTTTTAACCATCTCTAACATCTACTTTTTCTAAAACATTTTTTCCCGCATAAGAACCTTCACTTGATTTTCATTTTTTTTTAAAAAAAACATAGAATTGAATAGTCTTGCTTCTCTACCTTGCACAAAACGTAGTAACAAAATATGCTCTTACACGAACAAACTAAGCAACTGCTTTCAACCATGTAAAATATACTGCCTGGATAGCCCAATTTACTTTTAAGGATGTTCATTTCCATCTTGGCATTAATTATAGGTTTTGTTCTCTATTGCACAAACACTGAGCTTGTTATATTATCACATACAGGGTATGATAGGATGAGGTTATAGGGGCCATGAGACACTATTAATAACCACAATAAAGCCATTAATTTTAATGTTTTTCAATGTTAAGTGATACTTAACAGTATAAATCAGGGGTGTGCTGGCTCAGGAATTCTGGGAGTTGAAGTCCACGAGTCATAAAAGAGCCAAAGTTGACTACCCCTGGTATAAATTATAAGGCAAAAATACACATCAAACTCCCAATTCCAGTTTTTAAAGGATAAGCCTGGAAACCAAAAGCAAAATTTGATCTTGCAGAAGACAAAATGAATGTGTTTAAAGGACGTTTCACGGTGGCCAACAGCGAACTCTTGATTCTGCCTACTTATTGAAGAATTTATGCTTTGCATTCTGTCCCATGTTTTTACTGTTTTGCTTTACAACGACCTGGGCGCTCAGCAGTTTAGGTCATTCCCAACCCAGGGAATTTTGCACCTTGGCAGGCCTTTTCTCCTGAATGAAGGCTCCAGTGCATCCTGTAAACACCTGGAAAAACCCAGCTGCATTAATAGATTCGATGCGTGTGGATAATAAACCCGATGCCTTCCAAGGATCATAATGCTCTCTATTAGCAGGGCTGTCCAACCTTAGCAACTTTTAAGACGTGTGGAGTTCAACTGCCAGAATCCCCCAGCCTGCCCGGGGGGAATTCTGTGAGTTGAAGTCCACTGGTCTCCAAAAGTTGCCAAGTTTGGACACCCCTGCTCTAGTTTTTCAGGGGTGAGTCTCTGGTTTCCAGACCTGTCCATTTCCACTCCTTTCTACTCCACCCCCCCAGTCTCATCCCTGTTCAGCAATAAAGCCTTTTTTTAAAAAAAAAAAAACATGCACCAAATAGTACCTCTAGAGCAGTGGTTCTCAACCTGTGGGTTGGGACCCCATTTGGGGTCGATCAACCATTTCATGGGGGTCGCCAAGCAAGGCTGTCCGCCATTTTTTTTGTCTGCCATTTTTTCCCCTTTTCCGGCGGGTGCCTTACCTCCCTTGGGCTGGGCCAGCTGGTGGTCGGCCTGCTCCGTCTCTGCCGCTTGCCAGCTACGCCTCGGCCGGCGCAGGGGGCGGAATCACGCATGCACAGCGCTCCCGGGCAGGGAAAGTCCTCGACTTACGACCGGTTGGGTAGTCCTCGATTTACGACCGGTTTAGTCCTCGATTTACGACCGGTTTAGTCCTCGACTTACGACCGGTTTAGTCGACTTACGACCGGTTGGGGTCGCGGCATTAAAAAGATTGAGAACCACTGCTCTAGAGCAGTGATGCCGAACCTATGGCACGCGTGCCAGAGGCGGCACTCAGTGGGCACACCTGCTGCTGCCAGCTCCCGCAGGTCCATTAGGCTACCGCTGATGCCCAGAGCGGCAGCCCCACCCAGCACAAAGGAGACAAGGAGCTGGCTAGCAAGCTCGAGTAGAGATGGTAGAGCACGCCCCCATGCGCTGGCTGGCCTCGCCTTGCCCCGCAGCAATGGCACCCCAGCCCTACCCTCTGCCTCACCCCGCAGGATGAGCCTCTTGCCCACCGCCCCACCTACCAGAGACCCTCTGGATCTCCCGCAATCCTGCCCAGCCCCCACTGGCGTCCCCCCACGAGCAACATCAAGGTGGCCACGTCCACCCCGGCCACGCCCACTCAGTCTGCCATCACCACTGCAGCCACTCCCCCCAGTGGGCCATGCCCCCCCCGAGGGCACCACAATGCTGATGCGGCCCTGGCCCTTTGCAATAAATAAGTGGATTTTGGGTTGCGGTTTGGGCACTCAGTCTTTAAAAGGTTCGCCATCACTGCTCTAGACCAGGGGTAGGCAACCTTGGCTCTTTTATGACTCGTGGACTTCAACTCCCAGAATTCCTGAGCCAGCCATGCTGAGGGGAAAGGGAGAGGTTTCCAAGCTGAGCCATGCTGGCTCAGGAATTCTGGGAGTTGAAGTCCACGAGTCATAAAAGAGCCAAGGTTGCCTACCCCTGGTCTAGAGAAACAGAATTGTAATATGTGGGAAGACTTAAATTTACCCTCTTCAATTATAACCTCTTGAGGGAAACTGCTAATAGTTATCAGACTTAAAAGAAGCTTAAGTCCAACAGCCGTAGGACTGGGAGGCTCTACAAGGCAGCTGTCTCCCTTGTGTCCTAAGGGCTGAGATTGGTATGTGCGTACGAGCCAAAATCTTGCCCTGCTTCCCACTGAGAAAATAAGCAAGATTTTTTCCCCATTATGTTAGTTTTATGGACTCTGTGCTCTGAAAGTTAATGTGCATTACGACACAATTTTCAAAATTGGAAGAACCGCTGAGAAGAACCTTGTAAGCACACAAAAAGGTTTCTCCAAACACTTAGCAGAAGCCACATTAAAGCTAGAATTACATGTTTTTAGAAACTCCCCAGGGCAAGATCAGACTGTATTATCAAAAAAAATAAGAGCAGGAAGTTATAGGCGAGGAGAAAAGTATTATAGTTCTGGAGGGGATTTTAAAAGCAGATTTTTAGTAACTATTTTGTTGCACATTGTTATTTTTCCGTCCCTCCCCAATTCTATGCCAGTGTTTGCTACCAACAGACTGTAACTTAAATGCCTCTTACCTCTTCGTTCTTCTCTGCAAATCCCATTTTTGGCACTAGATGCTGAAGACACGGCTGCTGGAATCTCAAAACCTGGGATGGCCACGCTGCTAGCAGATATTATTTTTTTTCTGCATTGACTGAATTTACCTCTTTCTTCAAAATTTCCAGGGCAGCAGGAAATGCTGTCAAGGCCCAAGCAAGCACTTCGTGTTTGGCATTAAGCAGGTACTATCCTGAAGAACGCGGCTCAGAAGAATTTCACTTATCCAAGTAGTAGCAAGCAGGTCACGTTTGTGGAGAGCGTTACTTGCAATAATTTGTAGTTAAGTCTAACATTTTTTTGACCCTTGTCACACGTTTGACCCATGGACTGCAAGTTCCCAAGATGAGAAACAATTTAATTCTAAATTGACTTGATGGGTCCAACTCTTGGTTTGAAGATAAAGGTTACCCTGCAATAATCTACGGAGGCTCTTTTATTGAAAGGAAAAGGAACTCCAATAAAAATCTGTATTATATTTGATTTTTTTTTCCCAAATGAAACGTCAGCGCAACAACACAGATCACATTAAAAAGATACAGTTAACATGGATTTTTCAAGTGAGATCCCAGCATGCAAATGTCATAAGAACTTCGTGTGCATGCATTTCAGAGATTTTTTTCTTGTTGATAGCATAAACAGTCGCCACATCCAAGTTTTATTATAATTTATATATCTATGACCAAGTTATCTGCAATTCTTTCAACATCCAAAGTGGACAAATAGTTAGTTGATGGAGATCGATGATATCAGGAGTGACTATTAACATATTATTCCTAAAAGAAAGAGGATTCAACATGAACTGTGGCTGTTGCTCCTGAAATCAGCCTGAAATGAAGATATTCAATGTCCAAACTTCGGTACAAGGATGAAATTCTGAAAACAAACACAAAACACATTTTAAGTGATTGCACGCAGAACTCAGCGAGCTACTTCTGCTAAGAGAGCTTTCCTAAACCAGCAAGTGGTGGGAGGGGTTGCCATCTCCAGGTTCACAAAACAAAAAGGAAGGCTGTCGCTTAAACACAAAGGGATCTAATATTCCCCCATTTATCATCCTTCCTGGTTAAAAAAAAACAACAGCAATGCATCAATATTTCCTCCTCATGAAGACAATATTTCAATACACTGTATTGGCATGCCTTGGTAAGGCCACACTTGGAATACTGCATCCAGTTTTGGTCACTACGATGTAAAAAAGATGTTGAGATTCTAGAAAGAGTACAGAGAAGAGCAACAAAGATGATTAGGGGACTGGAGGCTAGAACATATAAGGAACGGTTGCTGGAATTGGGTATGTCTAGTTTAATGAAGAGAAGGACGAGGGGGGACAGGATAGCCGTGTTCCAGTATCTCAGGGGCTGCCCCAAAGAAGAGGGAGTCAAGCTATTGTCCAAGGTGCCTGAAGGCAGGAGAAGAAGCAACGGATGGAAACTGATCAAGGAGAGAAGCAACCTAGAACTAAGGAGAAACTTCCTGACAGGGAGAACAATTTACAAGTGGAACAACCTGCCTCCCAGAATTCCTGAGCCAGCCATGCTGAGGGGAAAGGGAGAATTTCCAAGCTGAGCCATGCTGGCTCAGGAATTCTGGGAGTTGAAGTCCACGAGTCATAAAAGAGCCAAGGTTGCCCACCCCTGGCCTAAATGATCCTAGCAAACTCCATGATCATGTGGGGAGCTGAACCTGGGTATCCCCTAGCCCAGTGATGGCGAACCTTTTAGAGACCGAGTGCCCAAACTGCAACCCAAAACCCACTTATGCATCGTCGGGTGCCGGGTGGGTGTGGCCCATTCGCGGGGTGTAACCAATTGGGTGGGCGTGGCCCATTGGGGGGCATGGCTACGGTGGTAACAGCAGACTGGGTGGGACTAAAAAGTTCAATCAATCAATTCCAACTTTGCAAGATCTTTTTTTTTCCTGCGAGAAGTTGAAATTGACTGATTGATTGAACCTTTTTTTTTTGCACACGGTGGCGGAGGCCTAAAGTGAAAAGATTTTATAAAACCCAGCTGAAGGCCTAGGACTGGGACGACGGCGTGTGTGCCCAGAGAGGGCTCTGAGTGCCACCTCTGGCACGCGTGCCATAGGTTCGCCACCACTGCCCTAGCCCCACAACCACGCTCACTCTCCTGATCACACTTTCAGGGCCAGGACAAAGAAAAACCAATCTGAAATGAAGGAGAGATGCTGCCAGTCAGCACGGGTAATGCTGAATTGGAATAATGAGCAAAACATTGAAGGACAAGAGGAGAAACATGCTGACTACTGAAAGAAGTAATTTGATAGATCTGGGATTCCCTGCCAAGGGGAATTCCAGGCTAGGAGTTGAGCAGTTGCTCTCCAATAGAGCAAATTCATTGCGAGTGGTGGGATTCCCCACCCTAGAACAGGCTAGAAGATCTTCGCTTCTCTGACACTGCGAATGCTATTTACCTTGATGCCCTTGGGTGCGTTGTTCTAATCCAGGCAAGGCTTGCTGTGCCTGTACTGCATGATGTACATGGTAGATTGGTGCCACCAATACAACATCACCACAGCAAGAATGTGCCAGAGTTGGTGGCTGGAGCCGAGGTAGTTTAACTGTCCTGTGGAAGAAGAGAAAACCAATTTAATCAGAATGGGAATAAAGAACGTGCTTTTTGTTCATAAGATGAAGACACCTGCAGAGATAGCCATTCAAATATGTTTTTCTCCGGCTGATCTGGAAATGAAGGGGTTTTTTTTCATCCCAGAGAGTGAGAGAATATTCCATTTTTGGGGTCAGGAAAGGACCGTCTCACTTATGTCTGGCTCTTGAGCTTCCAGGTATGTCTGGCTGGCTACTGTTAACGTCAATTTGATACTTTGTTGTTGTTGTTAGTTGCGAAGTCGTGTCCAACCCATCGCGACTCCATGGACAACGTTCCTCCAGGCCTTCCTGTCCCCTACCATCTTCTGGAGTCCATTTAAGCTCATGCCTACTGCTTCAGTGACTCCATCCAGCCACCTCATTCTCTGTCGTCCCCTTCTTCTATTGCCCTCAATCTCTCCCAGCATTAGGCTCTTCTCCAGTGAGTCCTTCCTTCTCGTTAGGTGGCCAAAGTACTTGAGTTTCAACTTCAGGATCTGGCCTTCTAAAGAGCAGTCGGGGTTGATCTCCTCTAGGACTGACCGGTTTGATCGCCTTGCAGTCCAGGGGACCCGCAGGAGTCTTCTCCAGCACCATAGTTCAAAGGCCTCCATTCTTTGGTGCTCAGCCTTTCTTATGGCCCAACTTTCACAGCCATACATTGCAACTGGGAAAACCATGGCCTTGACTATACGCACTTTTGTTGGCAGAGTGATGTCTCTGCTTTTTAGTGTGCTGTCTAGATTTGCCATAGCCTTCCTCCCCAGGAGCGTCTTTTAATTTGATACTAGGCAGATACTTAAATAAATCATGTGCAGCAATGTTGATACTATTTTTCTTTTTCAAGTTATAGAAATGCATAGTGTGTTAAGATGCATATCATGCTAAATATTCTCATTAACACTGAATAATGCCCAATGCCTCTGCAGATTTAAAGACAACACCTGCCTTAAATATAATACTTTATAATTTAGGTGCACAACCAGGGAGTTTTCTATATTTCCTCTAATGTTCACTCTAAAACAAGATCACAACAGTAGACAAAACTTCAGTGTGCATCTTTTATCCAGCTAGCAAACCATCAGGAGTATTTTTACCTGGAAAATATCTTTCTGGGACTTTGGAAATGTAGAAGAGAAATGCTATGACGGCTATTAAGTACATCACAATCACTCGGGGAGCGAATTCCTGAAAAAGGAAAATAAAACATTAACTGCAGCCACTGGAAGCATCCAGGTTTCAGATCTCTGACACGTGAGAAAGAAGATGGTAACCCTTTTCAACAGATTTCAAGTACTGTGAACTAAAAAAGCTGGATGACTTGCAAAATCTACCGAGTTCATTTTCTGTTTTTTTATGCACGTCGTTCAAAACAAAGAATTAAATGCAGGGTACATAACAATGTGGTTTACTGGGCTTTCCTTAAACAAAACATTTTCAAAGGAGAAAAAGCACCTGATTTTTTTTTTCAAGAAATGGCTATTGCTTTGCAGCAGCACTCTGACAACCAATGTGTTTACTCACAACTTGTGTTAAATGAATATTCCCACGTTCTCCAGATATCACAATTTCAATGCAAAGCAAAAGAATGAGGCTGTAAAAATGGAAAAGCGAGTTTAAATACTGAGTGTCCTCAAGCTTGAAGTTGTAACTGGTAACAACCAAAAGAAATTTGAGTATAATAAAAATGCCCTCGTGCCCAGCTCAACTGATAAATGGCATCAATGTAGTTATGAAAACAAATTATGTTCTCCCACTGATTTTTTTTTTTACAATTTTAATAGTTTGTATTTTTAAATGTTTTGATGACCTTGGTAGTTACATTATTATTATTTTTTTTTGGGGGGGGGGGGATAGCATTAACTTTGTAAGCTGCCCAGAACTACTTAACTGAAATGGACAAGTACAAAATAAACAAACAAACAAAATGCAGTATCTTGGCAGCATTTTGAAAGTATCTTCCCTTTGTGGTTTTCCAAGATTCCCCCCCCCCCCCGTTTCCTAATTTAGCCAGATCCCAAATGATCCTGTGGGATCCAAGTACTGTACTAACTGAGGCCAACCCTGTTTAGTCTTCAAGATTAACCAAGGCTGGCTAGGCCAGGGGTGGGCAACCTTGGCTCTTTTATGATTCGTGGACTTCAACTCCCAGAATTCCTGAGCCAGCCATGCTGAGGGGAAAGGGAGAGTTTCCAAGCTGAGCCATGCTGGCTCAGGAATTCTGGGAGTTGAAGTCCATGAGTCATAAAAGAGCCAAGGTTGCCTATCCCTGGGCTAGGCGCTAAGCACTGCCCTCAATCAATAATGCCCTCCATAAGATCCATAGGAGCATCTTTTGAGCAAATGTAATGGAGCAGGTAACTTCTAAATTTACCTGTACAATAGATGCTGTGACACCTCCATTGAGCCAAATCCAGTGGATGGTGGGAATAATTCCGTAGCCTGACACAGAGCAGAAGATGGCGGAGCGTAGTCGATGCCATTGCTGGGTGAGGTAACTGGGGTGAATCTGAGCGAAGAATACTGCCAAGATCATAGCAAGCACGGTGATCAAGTACACTTGACGCCAGTACTAGAATAGGAGGGGGAAAGGGAGGAGAGGTTTGCGTGATGAAGAGCCCTGGGTACTCACGTGGCAATTCCAGACAATGCTGGAATATCTATTTAAGCTGCTTTCCCAAAACATGGGGAATAGCTACAGTACTATTTGCACATTCAGATATTGACAGAATAATTTTAACAGCTTGTATTTCAGTTTTAATTACTCAACAGTGAGAGACTGCCATGAATGCTGAAGCAGCTTTCTCAAAATCTGCTCCAGCTGTACAGTGCTAGTCCCTGCTGCTAGGAAAGGCTGACTTTGGTATTTTCTTTGTAGAAAGAATAGAATGGAATGGAATAGAATAGAATAGAAAATAGGAAAGAATAGAATAGAAAATAGAATAGAATAGAAAATAGAATGGAACAGAATAGAAAATAGAATAGAAAATAGAATATAGAACAGAATAGAGGAATAGAATAATATAGAATAGAATAGAATAATAGAGGAATAGAATAGAATATAGAATAGAACAGAACAGAACAGAATTCTTTATTGGCCAAGTGTGACTGAACACACAAGGAATTTGTCTCCGATGCATAAGCTCTCCGTGTACATATAACAACAAAGTGATAGGTCAGTGATGGCGAACCTTTTAGAGACCGAGTGCCCAAACCGCAACCCAAAACCCAATTATTTATCGCAAAGTGCCAGGGCCTCATCAGCATTGTGGTGCCCTCGGGGGGGGCAGGGGGTGTGGCCCACTGGGTGGGAGTGGCTGCGGTGGTGACAGCAGACTGAGTGGGCGTGGCCGGGGTGGACATGGCCACCTTGATGTTGCTCGTGGGGGGCACGCCTGTGGGGGCTGGGTAGGATTGCGGGAGATCCAGGGGGGTCTCTGGTGGGTGGGGCGGTGGGCAGGAGGCTCGTCTTGCAGGGGTGAGGCAGGGGGTAGGGCGGGGGTGCCATTGCTGCGGGGCAAGGGGAGGCAGCTGCAGCCCCCGCACACAGAGGACAGCGAGCGCATGGGGCGTGCTCTACTACCTCTACTCAAGCTTGCTAGCCAGCTGCTTCGCCTCCTTTGTGCTGGGTGGGGCTGCCGCTCCAGGCGCCAGCGGTGGCCTAATGGACCTGCATGAGCTGGCAGCGGCGGCAGGTGTGCCCACAGAGAGGGCTCTGAGTGCCGCCTCTGGCACGCGTGCCACAGGTTCGCCATCACTGATCTAAGGTATACAACAGCTAACATTGTGCCCAACTTACATTACTACAGTAAAATGCATAAAAAACTCCTGACACATAGCAGCCCAGGATCCCAATCGAAATTCCTGCATAATCCAGTGCCATCCACCTTCGACTGGTCTTTTCCGAGCGATGGCAGCAGAAGAGGTGATACCCTACTGAGCAAAGCATACAGACCTACAAGAACATTGAAACAAATTCACATTAATTTTATGCAATTGATTTCTTTTTGTTTTTTTAAGATTTAGTACGCAGCACTCTGCGGAGCTCATGCGTTTCTAGTTGAAACTATAAAATGAGCACAGCAGAAATATCTGGCTTTACTCAATTTACTTACAATATGAAAAGAGATGGAAACATTTTTTTATTTATTTACACTACTACCTTCCTAAAAAGGGGATCCTAGAGGGAGGCTAGCAATAATTAGCAACAACAATAGGGAAATAGTAATAGACTAAGCAGAAAAATGGAAAGCACGTCAAATTAGGATTTACGTGATCCCCTAAAATTCTATTACTTATGTACTAATTCTACTAGCTGCTAAAATTCCTAATGAAATTACAAGTGCACCGACTAGGAAGGAAGGGAGAAGATCAACTGGAGATGCTACCTTGATTTCAGAATAAGATGATAACATTGTTCCATGCAATCTACAATTAAAGGATGTGAATTATCACAACGTTTTGATTAAAATAAATGAGGCGAAAAGCCTCATCTTGGAAGAGAATGCAAGATTTATTTTATATCAGCCCCTCTGACATACCCAATTCCTTGCAAAGTTTGGCTGCCGTATGTAAAAGATCTTACCTGAAAGCAAAAAAGACAAATAGAGCAAATAACAAAATCTTCTCTAGAAGCTTTCGCAGAAGGCAACACAGAAGTCATGTCATATATGCCCAACGTGAAGAAGAGAAAGAAGCCCAGTAAATGACTCCAGATATTGATTGTCTCATTGGACAAAACGAACAGACTGGTGGGAAAAAAAGATAAAAACAATAATGTCTGACTAGTTTTAATTTATTTTGACTAATAGCAGCATAAGTATGTGGTTCAATTCAGCTATTAATGCATTTCTTCCCTACAATCTGGTCAGCATTCCGTCCTTTAGTTTGTCTGTTTATCCGAAAGGGGCACTTTATATGTTGAACCTGGATTAGCGTTATTACCACATATTCTCTGCAATTTTCCCCGGGAAGAATACAAAATTGGAATAAATTGATCACAGAATATTTCCCTACTCTGTATTCAGAGATTTTATTTTTCTTGTTTGCAATATTTATATTGCCACATGTGCATGAAAGTGGTTCCCGTGACAATCTATAACAGTGATGGCGAACCTTTTAGAGACCGAGTGCCCAAAAACCGCCCGTCCCCGTCCCCGTCCTGCCCACTGGGCCACCCATCACCTCCACGGCCCGCCACAGATCACCCAGGCAGCCCAGCAGCGCCATGGCGGCCATGCCCTCCACCCGTGCCCTGCAGCATCATCTGCATGCGATGGGGCGCAAGGGCGGAGTCTTGTCCCCGCTGCCCGGCTACCATGTCCTTGGCTGCGCTGCTTTGCGTGGGCCGCGCCCGGGGGCGACTCTCCTCCAGGGGAATTGCTGGTGAGGAGGGGGCCGTGGGACGACGGTGTGTGTGCCCACAGAGAGGGCTCCGAGTGCCGCCTCTGGCACACATGCCATAGGTTCGCCACCACTGATCTATAACTTTGTTTTCTATTAATATTTTTTGCTTTGGACAATAGCAGTGCTTACATCTAAACCGGGGTTCCGGTTCTAAAGCAATGAACTACATGCAAATTAGTCTCACTGATCATAGGTTATTAGGAGAGCCATTTACTTCTGCTGTTGTATGGATACACTAGGCCTGAGAAACTGCCTGCTGGAGTTTGTCTGTTTAGATTCTAGAAAAAGGGACTGACAATAAAGAGATTTTCAAAGGAAAATCAGCAAGTCAGAATTAAGAAGTATTTCAGACAGAGAAAAGAACATTTAAATTAAGTCAATGCACCTTGCTTCATTAGTTGCTTTGGTTATAATTTGCAGAAAGCAGGATATACATATAAATAAACCAAGCAGTTTTCAAAATAAAAACATGTTTTTCTTATAGGCACTGCTTCAATCCAGGCTAGTCGCTTAATTTCACTTTGAACCATTTCGATCAACTCCAAACCTTTTTAAACACAGCCTAGAAGGCAGATATGCTCTGTAGCCATCAGTGATGTAGGGATTATCCTTAAGGAACACAGGAATCTGTTCATAGGTGTACAAACGAATTCCCCGAGGAACGAGGACAGGCCAATACTGATAACTTCCCAGCTCAATGTAATGAGCGCTTTTCAAGAGTTTCTGGTGCATTTTAGTAGCGTTTCAAGTCATCAACCAAGGCAAGAGTAAACATGTAGCAACACACAAGGCTTTTGACTTCTGTCATAAGTTATCTGCAAAATATGAAGACAAAATAGGATTAAGATCTAAAATAGGACAGACAGGGAACACCCATGCTTTCCCCTCCTCCGCTTGTCACAAAACAATTTGCATTTTTCTATAGATGAAAAACACAACTCACATTCTGAAAATGCAGCAGCAGCCAAAAAAAAATATCTTATCAACAGCAAACACTTCTAAGACTAATCATTAACAATGTAAGGCAAGAAGTACCTGGGCCGATAAAGACACACCTATTTAATAGTCTTTCCTCTTAAAAAAAAAAGCTTTGTCGGCAGTATTTTGACTAGAGGAACAGGCCTAAAGGCAGCCTTCCCCAGAAACTGCTCCCTGTTATTACAACAGTCTTAAAAGTTGTGCTCTGCCAACAAGGAATACAGGTAGTCCTCGACTTACAACCGTTTAGTGACCATTCAAAGTTACAATGGCACTTGGAAAAAAGTGACTCATGATCATTTTTCACACTCCTCATGGTCAAAGGATCAAACTTCAGACGCTTGCCTACTGGCATGTACTTATGGTGGTTGCTATGTTCTGGGGGGTCATGTGATCACGTTTTGCAACCTTCTGACAAGTCAAGTCAACAGGGAAGCCAGATTCACTTAACAATTGTTGTTATTAACTTAATAACTGTGATGATTCATGCATAACTACCGTGGCAAGGTCGTAAAATGGGGCAAAACCCAACTGTTGCTTAGCAACAGAAATTTGGGGGTTAATTATGTTGTAAGTTGAGGACTGCCTGTATACAGAGGGAGGGACAGAGATGGGTAGTTTTAAAATCTGATTAACAAACAAACCCTAATAATTTCTTCCTTTCCCTAGTTCCCATCTAGGCTAGTTTTCTCCATGATTATTGTTTCATGTTTCTTGTAATGTTTTACAATCTACTGCCCAGAGCCATGGGGAGTAGGAGGGGAATTCTATTATGTGTGGGTAATCTACAGTTAGATTCACAGTCTAAGACTGGTGGAAACTTAATAATTCAAGTCCTAACCAGGACCCTAAAAGTTATTAGGGTAGAGTATAAGAATATACACAGTTCCAAGCAGGGCCATTTTTTTAAAAAAAAATTGGGGTGGTGAGATCTGATAAATTCGGTATTTCCAGATATCAAGGATGTATTCTGATATTGTTCTGTGGGCTCCAATCATGATTTATGTAATGATGGATTTTATTTTTTCTATAAGAGTTCAACTTTGAACTGCAATGTTTTTTCCAATCGTTTTTCCTCAATTCTAGCACCACCTGGAATAGCAACATTAATGAACCAAGCTTCCCCCCCCCCCAGTAACTTATATCAGGCATGTTATGAACAAGATGCCTCTCTGTTTAGATTTTAAAGTCCCATAAGATCTTAGCCAGTTTATTTTCCAAAACCTTCAAAAAAAAAAAAACTTTTCGATGTGTTTAATTATTATTAAAGTCCTGTGTGAAATGTTCCATCTGTTTCCCTGGAGTTGTCTGCGAGTTGGACGGTGTATAAATGTAATTATTAAGATGTATATATTATCTAAATGTATAAATTATCATTATTAAAATGTTTACATTTAAATATCATTATTTAAACGTATATACCTCCCAGGCAACTGGGAGAGAGGCAGCTAGATATTTTCACACAGCAGAACCTTGTTATTATTATTGGGCAGTTGCAGTCAGCCAGATGTTCAGACCAGATTTGGCATTTCTGCCTGCCTATCGAGTCCTTCCCAAAGACCTGGGACTGACAGATGTGAATGTTTGATGGTGTTACAGTTATTATCGCAGGATGCAAGCCGTCCTGAGTAAAGCCGCCTTTTGCAATTGATCGACGATGAACTTGTCAATGCCATAGATCAGGGGTCTTCCAACTTGGCAACTTTTAAGACTTGTGGACTTCAACTCCCAGAATTCCTCAGCCAGCCCGCAACCGTCATAAATACCAACCACAAGTCTTAAAGTTGCCAAGCTTGAAGATCCCTGCCATAGGTCAGTGATGGTGAACCTTTTAGAGACCGAGTACCCAAACTGCAACCCAAAACCCACTTATGCATCGTCGGGTGCCGGGTGGGTGTGGCCCATTGGGTGGGCGTGGCTGCGGTGGTAACAGCCGACTGGGTGGGACTAAAAAGTTCAATCAATCAGTTCCAAGTTTGCAAGATCTTTTTTTTCCCCATGAGAAGTTGAAATTGACTGATTGATTGAACCTTTTTCTTTGGGTACACAGCGGGTGGAGGCCTAAAGTGAAAAGGTTTTATAAAACCCAGCTGAAGGCCTAGGAGTGGGGCGACGGCGCGCGTGCCCACAGAGAGGGCTCTGAGTGCCGCCTCTGGCACCCGTGCCCTAGGTTCGCCACCACTGCCATAGGTGATCAAGTGATGCCCCAAGTATTTTTAGTGGGGTTTTTAGTGGGGTTTTTAAGAGAAATTTTAATTATATAGGCCATAGTAATATTTCTTTTTAATTTGGTTTTAAATTAGGTATTTATTGTAGTATCTGTTTTATAATTGGCTGTCAGCCGCCCTGAGTCCGGTAAGGAGAAGGGCGGGATATAAATTGAATAAATAAATAAATAAATAAATAAATAAATAAATATTTTGGGATTGCACCCCAAGGCCCCTGTCACTACTTTGCTTGCGTTGGCTATAACTGTTCTATTTCTCTTTGCAGCTCTTTGCATTTGGTTATCCTCTCCACTTCTTTCTCTTTTATTCTGCTCTCTCCAGCTATTGCCACCTCCACTATCCAGCCTTTTTTTAAAAAAATAAATAAATAAAATCTTTCTTATTGACAGTTGTTAAGCTTGGGCTGTCAAGTGGCAGGTGCCTGTCTGTTTGAAGCCTGAAGTCCCAGAGCACTTTAGCTTATTAAAAAGCCAGTGTGAAAACCTCTCCCACCCTCCTCCCTGGGACGGGCCCAGGCGAGGATGACCCAGAGAAAGCCAGCCCAGGGGCCACGGCCTCAGCTCCCCCGGCCCTTCAGGCGCCAACAGGCGGAGGCTGCGAGCCCCGACAACGCAAGCGGCGATCTTCCATCTCGCTCACCCCGGTCGCTGCTGCTGCTGCCGCCGCCGCTGCCGCCACCGGAGCAGCTGAAGCCGCCTCAGCCCTTCACGCATCCTGGCGGCGAAAAGGCTCCCTTCTGTCCTTCTCCTCCTCCTCCTCCTCCTCGCCCGGAAAACAGCCGCCTCCGCCTCCAACGGTCCTAGGCGGCCATTGCGTCGCTCCCTGACGCCGCTCGTCGTCCAGGCCCGCTCGGATGATGCTGCCGCCTCGCGACGGGTCGCGCGGTGGTGACGTCACGGCGAGAAGCCGACAGCGCACCAATAGGAGGTCGCGGCTCTCCCCTGCCTTCCTCACCAACGGGGCACGTGCTGGGGGCGTGGCTGAAGTGCAACTACATAAATAAACAGACTGAAGCGCGCGCGTGGGGGTGCGTGCGTGCGTGGGGGTGTGGTTCTGCTGCAGAGTATTATAAATTATTTTTAAATTAAATGGTAACTAAGAGGCTTGGGAGAAATTGGTCTACCAAGCTGGGATGCGTACCCTTTGCTATGTAGGGGATGAATGGGGATTGCAGGGACTCCGATTCAGACATTCACTAGTTGACTTGACTCAGCCATCAGCCCAGCTTGCCATCAAGCGGAGGGTTCTTGCCGCCAGGAGAATAAAATGATGGGTGAATGTAAAGCTAGAGAAAGGGGAGAATATAATTAATAACCTGTGACTTAAATCCAGAACTGGCAATGGTTATTCTCAGTGCCCATTATTTCCCTCGAGTTTCCCTTATTTCCTTCCATCTTCAACTGTTTATCCACTTCTGGGGCAGATGAGGGTCTTGAGTGTGAGGGTCTTCATCTATCTATCTATCTATCTATCTATCTATCTATCTATCTATCTATCTATCTATCTATCTATCTATCTATCTATCATCTACCTACCTACCTACCTACCTACATCTATCTATCTATCTATCTATCTATCTATCTATCTATCTATCTATCTATCTATCTATCTATCTATCTATTTATCTATCTATCTATCTCTTCTTCTTCTTCTTCTTCTTCTTCTTCTTCTTCTTCTTCTTCTTCTTCTTCTTCTTCTTATTATTATTATTATTATTATTATTATTATTATTATTATTATTATTATTATTATTATTATTATTATTATTATTATTATTATTATTATTATTATTATTGCAACTGCCTGTCCTGTTGAGTATCTTGAAGACAATATCCATGATCTATCAGTCAAAGTGCATTTACAGGTAGTCCCTACTACCACAACTGAGCCAAAAATTTGTTGCTAAGTAAGACTTTTGTTAAGTGAATTTTGCCCCATTTTACGACCTTCCTTGCCATAGTTGTTAAGTGAATCACTGCAGTTGTTAAGTTAATAACACGGCTGTTAAGTGAGTCTGGGTTGCCTATTGACTTTGCTTGTAAGGGTTGCAAAAAGTGATCCTTTGACCCTGGGACACTGCAACCATCATAAATATGAACTAGTTGCCAAGTGTCCGAATTTGATCAGTGACCATGGAGATGCTGCAACAGTCGTAAGTATTAAAAATGGTCATAAGTAGCTTTTTTCAGTGCTATTGTAACTTCAAATGGTCACTAAATGAATCGTAAGTCGAGGTCTACCTGTATAGTTTCCTCTTAAACATATTTCTAATAAGTTTTGAGAAAGCAGAGGAAGATTAGAAATTGGATGTGGTGACATGCAGGCTACCCCATACATTTTTGCTTTAGGATCTGGGTGGCCACAAGTAAAGCTCAGAAAACATGAGCTTTACCTTACAGAAAAAAAATGACTTGTCCTTGAAACCTGATTGTGGAGTATCAGCTACTAAAGGAGTAGGGCCCCTTCCCTGTCTGCAAACTTGTATTTTTCTGGCTGACCAGAACAGTCTCTCGATCACAGTGCAATGGATTCTGTGTTCACAATCTAATCCCAAATATTTAACCTGGTTTCTATGAGTCTCGGCACCAGAATAAATCTCTCATT